ACTGATTAAAAATCAGTGCCAGATGATTGTAGAATGTGGAACAAAAGTGTTTGAGTACCAGATTCAGGATGTTGTCGAAACCTGGGGCCTTCATGTTTTTAGATGTTTTGATATATGCCAACGGTTCGTCAGCCGTAATCTCGGATTCCTTGGGAAAAAATATTAGGAATCTGATTAAGGTTGGTTGCGTTTTCAGCAACCTCAGCTTTGTGAGGGCTGACGATGTTTTATCCGAGATTATCGGAGCTGACAAAGTGTTGACCTATCGTGGCAACCTTCTCTTCTAGAGTTATCAGATGATCCACTGGGTCACCGGGACTATCCATTGGGGTCAGTGGTGGAATGGGTCTTGGCTTATTTTCAAGGATTTTGGTTAGTTTCCAAAAGGGTTTTACACAATCTGGGAGAGAGCAAATTATGTTAGCAAAGATCTGATTTCTGAGCTCCTGGCTTGAATGCGATAACAGTGGGTCTTCAAGACAGGCAAGCCAGAACGCTGGTATTGCCTTCGAATGGTGCTACGGAGTCTAATGAGATTTTTGGTAATTCTATCAAGGTTCAGTGTATTGCTCACCTGTCTGGATACTGGCACGTGTTGTTCCCTGACCCGGGATATCGCCTCTACGATGGAAGGCAGACACCGGTCAATGGCTTCGGGCGTCTCCGGAAGGACACCATAGTCGACAGTGGAGTCGACACAGTGTTGGAACTGACCCCAGCTGATGGTAGTTGCGTCGGGAAGCTTGGAATCGGTTGACGGATGAGCCCACATCGGCCACCACCGGATAGTGGTCCGAACTCAGCTCCTGGTGGGTCACAGGTAGCGAGATGTTGTCTCCCATGTTGATGGTCAATGGTGAAGTGAACGCCAAACCGGCTCAACCGGATGGGAGAGTCCGGCGCTAATATGGTGTAGTGAGCCTCTTGCAGTTCGTCGTTCAGGATAGTGCCGCTTTGGTTGCGTCGACTGTTGCCCCAAGCCTGGTGTTTGGCGTTCAGGTCGCCAGCGATGATGTACTTCTCACGGCGTCGAGTTAGTCTGATGATGTCTCTCCACAGGTCTGCTGCCGACCCGTCCCTGATGGTGACTTGTTTGGGACAGTATGCCGCAATGATGGTAATAGGGCCGACAGGTGTGGAGACTTCCACACCCCCCGCTTCGATCATCTTCAACTGGAAACTCGGTAGCAGTCGACAGCCAATATTTCTCCTTACTGCGATAGCCACTCCTCCTCCGCAGGAGCTGGTACGGTCTAGCCTTACGAGCCGAAAATCGGGGAGGTGAACATTTATCTCCGGCTTCAGGTGTGTTTCGGTCATGACGACGATGTCAATGCTATGTTCATTGAGGAAATCAACGAACTCAATGATTTTGCTTTTGAGCGAGTAAGCGTTCCAGTTGGCTATTTTGATGGCTTCACGGTCCATATTTTTTGCACGAGGGACATACTTGCACGAAGCTGTTCAGGTAGTGTCTTGGTGGTGCGCAAGATTATGATCACCTCAGTCACGAGAATCACTAGTTCGACGCTTGTGAGTGGAGAATTGTCTTCTGACTCACCTGACACAGCACGGGCGTACGATAATCCTGGGCCGCAGCGGAAGTGAGGCGATGCTGAATTGAATGGTTGCTGGGACCCGCTTGATCTATGTTGAATTCGCAACGGGGGGCGCTGTTTTAGTGGAAGCGGTGCTAGGTTCGGGACCATACGACGAGCCTGAAGTACTGGAAACGTGTCCATGTTGAAAATAGGAGCACGATTATTGCGGTGTCAACCAGATTGGTTCCTCGTGGAAGCCTGTTGTCGGATCTGGATGAAAGCCACTCGCTTGGGACATCTCCTATCGCTGTCCAGATGGTTGGAATCACAGTTCACGCACTAAGGTTCAGCTTCTTCTTCCTTCTTGCAGGCGGTAGTATTATGAGCCCCAGAACATTTGCCACAACGAGCCTTCATGTGACAATTCGACAGTGAGCATGCATAAGGGCGAATACGCGATGATCGATTCTCTTCATCGATTTTCTCTTTGCATTGCTACAGCTAAGCGAAACAACATTCTAGAATTTGTTCAATGCAGAGTAGTAACCGGTTGTATTGACTATAAAATGCAACAGCAAAAGCACCGAGAAACGTTAAATCTAGCGAGTTATTAACAAAAGAGAAAATCGACGAAGAGAATCGATCATCGGGTATAGGCCCTTATGCATGCTCACTGTCGAATTCTTCGTACCGTGCCCAAATGCCAGACAATTAGTGCACTGTGTCACGTCACGGTGCCAAGGGCGATACTGCTCCCACTGAATCACGATGTTGAACAGCTCGCGAATCTGGTGGAGTCCTTATCGAAGTGCACCAGGTACAACTGGTCCCGGAATGCACTGGTTTCATCACGTCTCGCAATGGGAAAAATGTTGATTTGTTGCAGATGAAGGCGCTCCAATTCCGCTTTAATTTCCGCTACAGGGAGATTTAGAAGACCACGGATCACCATTTCTGTGGTTTGCTTCCAGGGAAATGTCCCAAAATCGTTGTAGTCCGCCAGCATCGAGCACAAGATTTTGATCCCCGTGCTGCACAGCTTGAACAGCGGATGGATTTGATTTTTAGCCAGCTCATTCCTGAGCAACGCGAGATCCTTCGTCGAGGTGAACAGTGGGGGCACTTTTTCCCGCTTCTCAACTGGATCTACATCTGCTTCTTCGGGGAGTGCCGAGAATGGATTACTATGAAGCAACCTTTCCGTGTAGTTGCTGGCACCAGCTTTCTTGCGAGGCCTTTTCGGGGCATCTTGATCGGATGCGGTTGCATCCAAACTTTGGCGACCCATCACCTTTTGTTTTTTCAACGGGTGAGTGGAGGCATTCAATTGTTGCTCCACTACCGCCGATTTGGCGACTGCCACAAGAGAGGCGAGAACTGACCACACGTTGTTAGTCAAAGCGAAAACTCTCGACGGGTACCACGACCCAAACGACCGACTTAAAACACCGAACAACTCGAGAAAGCGAGCGAAAAGAAAATCGAACAGTAAGTACAGCTTGATAGTCAAGCAGAGAATCATGAGCAGAGGCACGACAGCAGCACTGTTTTATATCTTTTCAGAACGATGTGCAACCAAGTGGTACTCGATTATGGCGACTTGGTTTGGGAAAAACGTTTATTTCATGAAAGCAGTGATAACATTATCATTTGTACATTTTCAAAAGTTTTATTGCAGAAAATTTGAAAAACTATTTTTTTCAGCAAATTTGTAATGTAACCTAACACTATTTCAACACACATATTTTTTGATTTGCACCCCAGTATAGTCCACAAAAACGTAGTTGTACGTCAAAAATCAATCGAACCAGAAATAGATTGAAATAGACAGTTGAATCAAACGGTATGAGAGAAGGAGATAGAGTTTTAATCGGCTCAAGATCGTAGTTGATGAGATTTTTCGCTCCTGGACCGTGAAATAACTTTTTTTTTTTTTTTGTGACGCGTTGTGTTTATATTGGTAGTTATTAAAAATGTGAGAAGTCTTGTGCTACTGTTAATGTTAGTTCAGCAGTTAGGTCAAAGCTGACGTTGGGTCAATTTTTGATTATGCCTTCTTGTAGAAAAAAAGTTAATTCTTGAATAATTGTTTATGTGGAGATTGTTTTTATCGCATCGAACAGCCGTCCGACGGTTTTTTTTATTTAGGATTCGCTTCTAGCAATGTACGGCCGAAGCTCGGCAAACCGCATCATTTGTTAGAATACTACTCTCGACTCCACGATTCTATGTCAAAAGTCCTAGTTTGAGGGGAAAGTCGGAAGTGAACAAACCGTTCTGACAGACCGGGCATTTCGCCATTTCCATTTTCCATTTTATGGGTAATTCGTACAATTTCAATGCGCATTCTTTGGTAAATTTTACATGAGATATGAAAAATATTGACATTTTTTTATGGGTCATTCACACTTTATTAGGAATTTCTTAGGAGTTTTATGGATCCTTTGGGTGTTATTTAAAGAGCGTTTATCAAAATTTTATGGATCATTTATTAATTTATATATGCAAAAGCATGTTTGCCTACATGAACTAATCAAAAAACAAAAACTATCACTGAGATTCAGCAATTTGAATGTAGGTTAAAATTAACCCCAAACCATATCGTAAAAAAAAAATGTTGTTGAAGAGGTTCGAATTAATATGACGTTTTTTTTACCTGCAATCAATTTTCAAATAAATTTCTGTCAAGAGTTACATCCTCAATCATCGCCAGACCCGCTTAACTTCTCAGCTGACAAGAGTTTGCCTCTCTCTTAAAATTACCTACTCAAAGCCAGAGCAACAGTTCAAGAGGCATGGCACGTGTTTACGATGAATCCGGATCAGTTCCACTTCCCCGAAGGACAACCAACCAATTATCAACCCCAGACAACGTTCAGACTAATTGATAAAGTGCTTTCTCAACTTCCCCGGCGCCATATCCAACCGAAACAGAACTTGCTAATCATATCCATCACAGTTTGGGAATAACTCATTCTATCTTGGGCAAGCCAGCAAAATCAAACCTTCGTGGGAACTGATTGGAAAAAATGAACGCTATCGAAATTCAGACGTGACCGTTTTGAGTTCGCAATTCTTCCCAGAAGGTTCAGAAACAATTCCCGGGGACGAAGGGTCGTCTTACCGATATCGATGTGCGTCCTTTTTTCAACTATGGACTGCGTAGGTATCGAAATATCAGTGAACCTTCTCAAATCGTGTCCTTCGATGAAAACTATTGATGATTTTCACGAGAAGTAGATTTTTCAATCGAAAAAAAAGGGGATTGGAAAAATTCACCACCATCGCGATTATATGTTGACTGCCCGATGAAAAGTTGAATGCTTTTCGTAAATAATAAATAATATAGTGCCATTAGCATCGTAGCTTTAGATAGCCATTACCGCTGGACTCTGGCATTGAACTTGGTGTGCCCTTGCTCCACCCTCCGAATGATGAACAACTAACCATTCAACCTACCTTCAAGGTGTGCCTCTATGTAGTCCGCGCCAATCGATGTTGTGCACGCAATCTACCTCGCAGGCGTTGTATGTAGTTTGCGTGCGTTGGGAAATAACACGTTCCTTCCTCCTGGGTATCTATCAGCGACCAAAAGAACACATGTACTTCGGCACTTCCCCGTTCTCCAAGCCTTCAGAACCGATTATCGGAAAGTTTATGCCCGACCGAAGGGGCAGAATATCCACTCCTGCTTTAGATCGGTTTCCCGCCCTGCACACGTGAAACCTTCTTCGGCTTCCAATTTTCACTACACTTTCGATTTTTCACCTTCGCCGAAGCGAAATCCTCCCACCCAAACCAAGACAGAACACCTGTTTCTTGATATCGTCGGAGTAAAAGATTGAATCACCACCACCGCCGTCGCCACTGCCACCGTCGGCGGCACGTTATCTCGTAAATTATATTTTAATATTTTATTTATACCGAGTCTGGATTTCGAATCTTTCGGATTCCGCCAAAGCGCGAGTGCGTCCGTTCGATTGGCAGCGGGCAGTTCATAGACGCGATGTCTTCTTCTCCCCCCAATGTATTCAGCTTGCTTTTCGATTCTTCTTGTTCTTCTCTGGCTTCCTGGCAAAGCTGTAATTTAAACCGTAAAGTGGTGCTTTAATATTTAATAATAACACTAACCACCGTTTGATTCCGCTGGCTTCGATTTGTTCTTCTTATTCTTCTTATTGCTAGTTGGCGCCTTTATTTGTACACAGTCACTTTGGTGGGGAAACGAAATTGGTGATTTCGATCCGTTTTTTTATTGAGCGGTTTTTGTTTTATTTACGTTCGTTTATGTTTTTTTTTTTTGAAAGCACGTGTTTGATATTTTCCTCTCCTTTTTCTGGGAACGGCAGAACGCAGCAACAACGGCAATAAGATTTTCTTTTGATTATTTCACGTTTGTTTGTTTGTACCGGAGAAGTGAAGCATATAAAAACGATGTAATTAATTCTTGCTTTTGTTCACTTTCCTACTACTTCGGCTTCGTCTTGCGACGTGGTTATTTTGAGTTTTTATTAATTATAATTTTTTTTTTTCGAGAAGGGTCTGATCGTAACGGGGCTGGGTTATTATGAGTGCAGCTTCGAAAGACCAAGATTACACAGAGCAGAGCTTTACGATCGGGCTATTTTTGTGACGCTAGCTTTAGTACTCTAGATTGGGGTAATGACTTTTGATAAGAAATCTGGAATGAGAAGAAAGGATGGAAAAAGTTAGTTTGATTGCTCTCTAGAAAGGGTAATTTTAGATTGGACTGTGGGAAAACTCTAGTTGAGAAAAGCGTGGAAAAGCTTTCGTGGTCGGTAATTTAGATGTATCTAACTAGCGCTTTGAAAACGTATACCAATCGATTAGTTGAGCAAAAGTTTGTTTCTTTGAAAAATTCGAACAGCTGGTACAATTTGGATCTTTTGCGTCTTAAACGGAAAAGGACAAATGGTACAAAAAGTTTTGTAGATCAAATAGTACACAATCGCGAATAATAAATATCTATTTATTTCTATTTATTTGTTTAATAATTCATCTGACCAAGTGGTCTTAATGAATAAACTATTCGCTAGCTTAAATGAGGTTCAGTCTTCATACTCTATTCCAGTGTTGGAAAATTATCAAAAAATCAAATCTCACCAACGCTCAAGATCACGCTTGATTTTCGTAAACAAAAATCAACAAGCTAACAACTGCGGTTGATTTTGCAAGCTATGGTATCGCAGTTCGGAATATCAAGCTAACAAAACTCACCAACTGCAAATCTCACCAAACTGTGGTGAGATTGAGCTTAAGGTGTTTTTCTTTACACTCGAATGCAACCGAAACTTCCATAATGGATTGCAGCAGTCCCTTCGCGTCTGCCATCGCACAGTGGGGAAAAATCGACCCAAAATCGCACATAATTAGACGGCGCACGGTAGGAGTTCTGCGAAATAGCCTATCTTATGTGAAAAAATCGGAGAATCGATTGGTGAAGGTCCCGTTTAGGGTTGACTTCGGGAAGTGGTCCGTTATGCCCGATTTACCCCTAATATTGGAAGAAAAATATAATTATCATCCAGAAATTGAGCTTGGTGCGCTTAGATTGAGCCAATGTAAACTTTATCCTTGTAAAAAGAGTTGAGGAGTTGAATGGAGCTACTTTTACTTTGATCAGACGTCAGGAAGTGATCCATTTTACCCGATTTCCCCTCGGCCTATAAAAACAAGATTAAACACACGGAAAGCAGAATTTGACGGACAAAATATTGAACTTTATGCACTTTACTATTGTACAATTATCCAAGGAATCGAATGGTGTGAAGTTCGCCATGTGGTGACCACTGTAAAATCCCATTTTACCCTGTACTCCCCTCATACCTAAACAAACTCATGTATCATGTGGTTTTATACATTGGCTTCATTAATACGACACGCACTTGAACTGTACTAATGTAAAAATGTCTGGAGAATCAAATGGTGATGGTCCTGTCGTGGTCAGAATTCAGGAAATGGTCTATTTTGCCCGATCTCCACTCAAATTAAAAAACCTATATAAATCAAGGGGAAATTTTAATTGGTATTATAATCAATGAACCAATATGCACTTAATCATCGTAGAATTATCAAATAAATCGAATAGTACGAGCCCCATATTATGGTGACCTCTACAAAACTCCATTTTACCCTATATTCCCCTCAAACTTGAACAAATTCATATATCATGTGGTTTTATAAATTGGCGTCATTAATATTACACACATTTGCACTGTACTTATGAAAAATGTCCGGAAAATCGAATGATAATGGTCCCATCATGGTCAGAGTTCAGGAAATGGTCTATTTTGCCCGATGTCTCCTCCAATGGCAAAGCCTATATAAATCAAAAGTAAATTGAATTGACACTATAATTTTTAAACCTATAAGCACTTAATTACCGTAGAATTACCCAAGGAATCGAATGGTGCGAGCCCCGTCTTATGGTAACTTTTGAAAAACCCCATTTCACTCTACACTCCCCTCATACTTAAACAACTCATATATCATGTGGTTTTAAAGATTAGCATCATAAATATTACACTGACTTGTTTTGGACTTTTGTATACATGTCCGAGAAATCGAATGGTGATGGTCCCTTCGTGATCAAACTTCAGGAAATGGTATATTTTGCCCGATCTCCCCTCCAATTTAAAATCCTATATAAATCAAGTGTAAGATAAAATTGACACTACAATTTGTAAACCTATAAGCACTTAATTATTGTAGAATTATTCAAGGAATCGAATGGTTCGAGCCCTGTCTTAATAATGGTGACCTCTGAAAAACCAAATTTTAACCTATACTACCCTTAAGCTTGAACAAATTCATATACCATGTGGTTTTATGGATTGGTGTAATCAATATCAGGGCGTCACAATATCAGCTTCAATCGACCAAATCGATGCGACGAAGAGACTGCTGGCTTTCTTTTTCTGTTAAAGTCGAACAGCTTCGCAGCATTCTAGAACCTCAGTCGGCGTGCACAAACAAATGTTCAATCGCTTGTCTCTCTTTCTCCCGTCACTCCATTGGTCTTCCTTTCAAGCTTCGGTGAAACGGATGAGCGAAAGAGCGCTCGACTTTGATAGTTTTCTCTTTCATGAAACACATCAACAGAGGTTTCATGACGTATATGACGGAAAATGAAATAACACATTTAAAGCATTTCTCTCGTGAAAACACGTGAAGATTACACGTAATGTTTTTAATTTATCTTGCATCCATATATTTATCTAAAAAAAAAGATCGAAAACGGGACATAACGCATTTTAAACAAATTGAAAAAGCGGTGATAGAGTGTTCGTGAAAGGGGATTGAAAGCCATAATCAGGTTTCGTTTAACTAGAAAATCGACGTTAGTTACATTGAAAGCGATGAGCAAAGAAACGACGAGAAGTTCCACAGATAGCCTTTCCTTCTAAGCGTCCTGCTTTTTTTATTTTCGTTTCTTGCTGATAGTCTAGCTAGGCGGTATAGAAATGAAGTGTCAAACACGTATGTATGAGAGAAACAAAACACGAGTTCATTTTAGAGCTTCGAAATTGTAGAGCCCTGATCAATATTACACTTGCTAGCACTATAGTTATGTAAAAATGCTGGCCGGTATTCAAACCCAGCCCCCCAGCATGGTCTTGCATTGCAGCTGTGTCTTTACCGACTGAGCTAAGGGGGGCTTAAAACAAACGATCAATTTAAATATAACAAACCAGACAAATTCGCTTTAAGGATTTGACAATTATAGGGTTTTATACTCCGAAACCATGACATCCGGTAGCATCAACAAAAGAAAACAAAACAAAGCGTTTTAAGGCAGTTTGAATTGATTTTATTTTTTATTTGAATTTTGTTTCAAATATGTTAACAAATCGTGATATTGTGAAAATATTTTTAAACTCAGATCTTAGCAAAGCTCGGCTCATTCAGCTCTTTGTAGCAACTTCCGGTGAAAGTGAACAGTTGGTTCGACGAGACGTTGATAATTGGGTCCGTGGATTTCTTCGACGTTGGAGGAAAGTGCATGGACAGACCAAATTCTTTTCTACTCAGAAAACATGGCTGGATACAGTTTACTTGGTGAGTAGCAATGTACATATTCAGAACTTAATTGTGGGTTCAGTGCTACTACACAAGGCACTTGTTAATTCTAAATGGCGATTACTATTATTCTTATTCAAATTCCCATGCAACTAAAACATTTATTTAGAAAAAAGGACAGATTTAATCCCTAGGAACCAGTATTGTGCATCTTCTTATTTTAAGTTTTTCGCTCTTCTTTTGCAAGCATTTTACCATTTATATATATACATATTTTTTAGAGTTGCTGCCATACAAAGATTTCTTGTAACACCCTTGACTATCAGTTGGAGGGTAAGCCCCTAATTTGGTCTACCTTTATATATGCATAGTTATGCAGAGGTATTAAAGTTATGGAGAGGTATATATGTAGACTGATGAATAATTTAAAACCTTTGCTCCACAGTACTTAAACGGTTCCATATCGGGTCCTGAGTAGTTTCTTAAAATTTGAATTCGTTTGGCTAAAAACCCAACAAACAATTTGAGTTGATTAACAGCTAGGTCAGCAATTTTTTAGCTGAAGAAGCTTATTTTTTCCTGAATAAGCTCTTATTAAACATTCAATGTTTGTTGGGAACTGACTGAGCACAAACCATTTGAAGTTTGTGAGAAAATCAAACTTTTTATTCATTGCCTTCTACCAAAGACACTATATCAAACGGACCGGAAACCATTTTTCTATACATCTATGATCTGATAGAAAGTTGGAAAGCTGTTCTTGTAGGACATTTTCTCAGCTAAAAATTTGGTGGAGATCGTTTTTACATGTGGCCAAATGCGTCGCATATACCTACCAACGTAATATACGTTTAAAGTTATTGGTTAGATAAAAACAGACAAATAAGACAAATAATGGTTAGAGCCCTATATTTAGAGTGACGACATCTCATTTGACAGGTCTTCTTCTCGATTGGAACGACGTTTTCCATGCAGTTGACAGACAATCAATTGATTTAATTTTGATACAGGCATTCCAGTAATGATGAACAACTTTTGGCAAAGAAGTCCAATTGGTTTGCGGTCTTCAACGAAGTTGTTCTGCATAGTTTACTTAATCTAAATCCAAGATATGATCAATATCTTACGCAACCAAATTCGTTCAAATTTGGCACAGTTGTTGAAGACCTCAATACACATGAAAAATGCAGGGGGTGTTGGCCTGCCATATAGTTTTGACGCATCCTAATATATATGCACTACGCAGAGAGAGTATCATCTCTCCTTTATACAAAATTAAGTGAGAAAAAGAAAAAAAACAGGCGAATAAGTCTAATGCTATGTTTATTAATATCTAATTTCTAACATTTTGTATCTGCAAATTAATATAATAGTCAAGCCGTGCATCGCCTTCACACCTACACAACATCGCACACACTTCACACCAATCTATGAACGCAACGCTGGCACCACCTTCCTCACCGCAAACATCCCGTGGTGCTAAACGTCGTCTACTTAATAACCTCTCCGAGAGAACGAAAAATGAACAAAGTCGGATTTTGGCCAGGAAGGCACCTTTGCACAAATTACTACGATCAGCGGAAAAAGCTGCTCGCCAAAACGCAAAACTATGGCCAAGTTGCTGCTCAACCTACGAGAAGG